TGTGACAATTGCAAGCAGAATAGTTGGCAGACAACAGAGGCTACTAGTACAGCTCTTTGCTGAAAGGGCGAAGAAGGCAAGGACTATTCTTGCAGATAGTTCTCATCCTCTCTTCAGTCAATTTGAGCCCATGAAATCGGGAAGACGCTACAGAACCCCTCTAACAAAATAAAAATGTGTTTAAGAGGTCTTTTATTCCAAATGCTGTTAAAATTCTCAACTCGGCAAGTAAATGATAATCCAAATGACTATAGTATGAAATGTGATTATTATGTATTTATTTTTTATGAATTGTGATCTGTCTGTTTTATGTCTTTGTCTTCTATTATGGTCTGTATATTTATTTTAATGGCTGGTGAGCCAAAGACAATTTTCCACCTTGGTGGACAATAAAGATATTACAATTAAAAAGCTCACAGGAGAAAAAAAAAATCATATATTGTCTGCAACATAATCATTTATTAATATTTGATTTTCCTCTCTTGTTTTTTCACCTGTTCATAATTTATTTGTATGACAGCTTGGCTAAAAATTATGTCAATTTGAAATGTTTCATTGTGTTATCACAAATAAACAATTGACTCCAGGCACAACTACACAATACGCTTACAAAATATTGAACACATTTTTAATACTATTTGAATAAAGGGTGAATCTGACAATTTTCCTTCAATACTAATTTGCGATAATTTTGCACAATGCAAAGCCATTTAAAAAAAATACATTTAAATATTAAAGTTTCAGTGTCTTAATTAAATTATTTTATTATAATTACATTAAATAATTGGTGTCATGCTGCTGTGACCTCACCCTTGCAGGCTCACTATTGGCTGATTCAGAGGGTGAGGGCGGCCATTTTGGGTTCACATCATTGTAGTCCTTAGTTTGCAGCACTTAAGTCCCACTTCAGTCAGCACTTAAAAATCAGTCTTATACTTTACTGAAAGTTGCTTTTAGCTGCTTTATAAATGTCTCCTACTCTTAGAAAAGTCCTACTCTTTACTAAGTAATTTTTTACACTTAAGTCAAAGCTTAAGACTATTCTTAAGATCATTTCTTAGAAGTTTTATACATACGGGCCCTGGGCCCGTATGTATAAAGCCACTCAGAGTAAAATTTTAGTCTCAAATCTGTCCAAATTCTAAGAATTACATAATTTTACTCTTATTCCTAAACTTAAGAATAAGTGTGATTCATAAAAGTTCCTAAGTGCTAAGACTTGGTCTCAGCTCCTAAATTATTTAAGAGAGCTGGAGAGGTCTCCTAACCTAGTTAGGAGTAACAAGATGGCAGCAGAGAGGTTAGGCCATGCACTTTTCAACAAAAATATGATGTATTGTAGTTAAATGAGTTGATCAAACAATTAAAAAAAAAAAAAAGTTTAATCATCAAGGTATTATTTTTGTAACTTACCTTTAAAAAGTTTCATAGCAATGAAATTAAAGTAATAATTATATTTTTGGCGACTGGAGAAATGCAGCAGTGCACCTGTGATGAAATATTTATTTGAATGGCTGGTGAGCCAAAGACAATTTTCCACCTTGGTGGACAATAAAGATATTACAATTATTACAATTAAAAAGCTCACAGGAGAAAGAAAAAAACATATATTGTCTGCAACATAATCATTTATTAATATTTGATTTTCCTCTCTTGTTTTTTCTCCTGTTCATAATTTATTTGTATGACAGCTTAGCTAAAAATTATGTCAATTTGGAATGTTTCATTGTGTTATCACAAATAAACAATTGACTCCAGGCACAACTACACAATACGCTTACAAAATATTGAACACATTTTTAATACTATTTGAATAAAGGGTGAATCTGACAATTTTCCTTCAATACTAAGTTGTGATAATTTTGCACAATGCAAAGCCATTTAAAAAAAATACATTTAAATATTAAAGTTTCAGTGTCTTAATTAAATTATTTTATTATAATTACATTAAATAATTGGTGTCATGCTGCTGTGACCTCACCCTTGCAGGCTCACTATTGGCTGATTCAGAGGTTGAGGGCGGCCATTTTGGGTTAACATCATTGTAGTCCTTAGTTTGCAGCACTTAAGTCCCACTTCAGTCAGCACTTAAGAATCAGTCTTATACTTTACTGAAAGTTGCTTTTAGCTGCTTTATAAAAGTCTCCTACTCTTAGAAAAGTCCTACTCTTTACTAAGTATTTTTTTACACTTAAGTCAAAGCTTAAGACTATTCTTAAGATCATTTCTTAGAAGTTTTATACATACGGGCCCTGGGCCCGTATTCCTAAAGAATCTTAATGTAAAAAGTAGCTCCTAGTGACAAAATTCTAAGAAAATTCTTAGAAATGTGGGCGTTTACTCTTAAAATTAAAGAAAAAATCCTAGTAAAGAAAAAAGTAATTCAGAAAGCATCTTAACCCTTAAAAGAGGTCTTAAGGTCAAAATTGTTAGGAGTATGGATGAGGACTTTTAAGAGGCTTAAGAGTTTCTTTAGCAGAGGAGAAAATGACAGAACGATGAAGAGGGAGAAGAAATGTGATGCAGACAATAGATGACGACAGTGAGTTAATAAGACGCTATAGATGAGATTGTGCAGTGATCATGTTTGTGACTGATCTTATTAGAGACACGTTAATATCTCCGACACAGCGCAGGAATGCCATAACGCCAGAAATGATCACTACATTAAGATATTTGGCAAATGGGAAAATACAATAAAGCAATAGTGATTTGGGTCTGTGACAACCTTCTGTAAGCAGTGATCACACAAACATTACAGCACTTTCAGAACCTCTTATTGTGTCGCAGTTCATTTAGTTTCCACTGGACATTCCCACCTTGCAGGCTCAAAAAACTGTATTTATGAATATAGCAGGCTTCCCTGGTGCGCACAAGCAGGGGAATGAACCGTTAATAATGTGCGCTATAAGCTCCCACGTCCGCTTCTCGCTCCATGCTGTGACACCCTGCCCGAATTTTCCTTTAAGGACGGCCTAGTGTTCATCCACTAACTCGGCTAACAGTAAACACGGTTCTTCTGACCAGTCAGGCTTTCTCGTCTTTCTTGTTTTTTAATCCATGTTTTCAAAACAAACATTCAAACCACCACTTAAATAGACAGCAATCAGTGTAATTGGAAAGAGTGGAACAATTTTTATCATTCTAAGCCAATCAAATTAACAGCAAGGTAAAAAAAAAGGATTTATATACATAAATATAATGTGTGTGTGTGTGTGTGTGTGTGTGAGTAAACTCTATACTTAAAATGGCTCTTTTTTTTCCTTCTTGGACAACCAACCAATCACAGTCTTCAAAAGATTGTGTCATACATAGCAACGGGGTCAGCCCCGCCTCCTCACTAAGATGAGAGTTTTTGTCTTTTCCTTACTCAGAGTTGCTCTCAGATCGGTCCCGAATCACTCTTAAGCTAAGACTCCTACGTAAAAGTTTTTAAGCTAAATTAAGAGTTTTCTAAAAGGATTCTTAGATTCTTTAGGAATACGGGCCCTGGGGCCGTATACACAAAGAATTTTAAGGCTAAAAGTAGCTCCTAACTGGCGAATTTAGGAGCAACTCCTAAAAATAATGGGCGTGTCACTCCTAACTTTAGGACTCCTAATTTTTTTCACTAAGAGTAATTCACGAAGCATTTTAGCCCTAAAAGTAGCACCTAAGTCTGGGACAGCTTAAAAGAAGTCGAGAGGACTCCTAACTCACTAAGACCTATTCTCAAAGGATCTTAAAATGGCCGTGCGACGCAGTGTGTTGGAGACACTTAATGACACGGAGTTATTACAAAGATACCGCCTTAACCGTGAGGGAATACTGATTGTTGTGGATCTTGTTAGGGATGCAATAACAGCGCCAACTAATCGCAACAACCCAATCAGTGCCGAATTGAAATGTTTGATAACACTTCGCTACCTGGCAACGGGGAAAATGCAATTATGTAATGCCGACGATCTAGTGATATCCCAGCCATCGGTAAGCAGATACATCCACCAAACAATCAATGCACTTTGTAGACCCCATATTATTCGCCAGTTCATAAGTTTTCCTTTGGACATTCGCCAACTCCAAAGAAACAAAGCCAGCTTTATGGATATTGCCGGTGTGCCCGGAGTGGTCGGTGCTATAGACGGGACACATATTAAAATAATTGCACCACGTCAGGATGAGGACGTGTTTGTGAATAGAAAGAAAACCCACTCCATCAATACCCAGATTGTGTTCGATGCAAACTACACAATTCTTGATATTGTTGCAAAGTGGCCCGGATCCACTCATGACTCGAGGATATTGATGGAGAGTGGTCTGAGGCAACTGTTTGAGAGACGTCATGTGCCAGCTGGATGTCACTTGGTGGGGGACAGTGGCTATCCCTGTAAGTCGTGGCTCCTTACACCTTACCTCCGTCCACAAGTGGGACCACAGTTAAATTACAATAGGTAAGTGTACGTGTTGGCTATATTATTTAGGTGCCATAATTCAATAGCATGACCACAATGTCAAAGCTTATTACAAATTATAGTGGTGGCTCTTGGTGTTGTTGGTTAAATCAATAATGTTTACTGTTCCTTGGTGTATGTTTCAGAGCACACAAGAAGACACGCAGTGTGGTGGAAAGGGGGACTGGACAACTAAAGCGACGTTTCCACGTTTTACATAGTGAAATCCGCCTTAGTCCAGAGAAGACGAGTAAAGTGATCACTGTGTGTGCGCTTCTTCACAACCTATGCCGGCAAAGGAACATACCACAGACAGGAGATGGTGATGAGTTTGACGATGATGATGATGATGATGATGACAATGAACACAACCAATTTGTTGATGAAGTGGAACTATGTGGACTGGCATTCAGGGATCACTTTGTCCATACACACTTTGGGTAAATAATCACATGCACAAATGAGTAAAGACACATTTTTGCTCAATTTAAGTGTGTTTATTCCCTTTGCATTTTTGCAATCTTTACAGTGTAATATTCAGACTTTAATTGTATTAGCCTCTCTTTTGCATCAAGGACCCTTTTCTGCTTTTTTAACACACGCATTTCCATTTTCATCTTTTTTTCTTCCGGGGGTGATGGCCTTGCACCAGCAGCAGGACTGAGGGGAGAGGCAGGTGATGGGATTGTGGAAGAGGAAGCTGGAAGAGGAAGAGGTGCAGTAAGAGGAAGAGGAGCTGGAAGAGGAAGAGGTGCAGTAAGAGGAAGAGGAGCTGGAAGAGGAAGAGGTGCAGTAAGAGGAAGAGGAGCTGGAAGAGGAAGAGGTGCAGTAAGAGGAAGAGGAGCTGGAAGAGGAAGAGGTGCAGTAAGAGTCAGGGGTGGAAGAGGCGCAGGAAGAGGAAGATGACTTGCACCTGAAGGACCTGGGCTTCCATTTGGCCTGTAACATAAATTGTAGCCTGATAAAACATCTTATAATTTGTGAATAGTTTTTTTGTGTTGGTGGGTGGTTTGCACATAATGATATTGTATGTCCTTCATTAAATATCACCAAAAATGTACAAGTATTGCAATCATTGCATAAACAGCCTACCCCTCTATTTCCATTAGCAGTTGCATTGCCGGATCAGTTGCACCCTCAAGGCCTGTTATGCTGGTGTCTGACCCAATGACACTATACACCACCGATGCAATGTGGCTCAGTGGCTTAGGTGCTGATCCTCCTCCTTAACACATACATGGAAAGTTTCACCAACTCAAAAGCATTGCCATAACACTTAAAAACACACTTTAATGTAAGAATATTGTTTGATATTTGTTTCATAATTCATTACATTCATGACAAGCAGGAAGTTTTTAGAATTACATGAAACAGTAATGATATTATATATTTAATAGTATAGGCCTACCTGTTGCCATGCTTGCCCGTTTAAAGGCTGCAATCTCAACCCTCGACTGCGATTGTAGCGCATACCACCGCTTCTCGCAGTCGTCCGGGGTCCGCGACACAAGCGCGAATGCTGCATTGATCTGCAAACATATCCTTTCCCATGTCTCGCGCTTAGTTTTGCTTGATATTCCAGTGCCGAATTTCCCTTTTATTATGTTTTTTTTTTCCAGCACCAACTGGGCCAGCAGCAGTAACTGATCCTGCGTCCAGTTTGGCTTTCTTTTCCGTTTTGGCGAGTTCATAATCCACCGTCATTCAACTATTACATTACTTCAATAGGAGCAACATTTTCCTTGCTTTAAGTAGTCTATTTAGGCTAATAGGATGTCAATTAACCAAGCAAGTGTTAATGCAAGTGTCGTTTTTCATTATTAGGCAAGTGCCGGTTTTCATTAGGGTATTAGGCTTAATTTAATTTAATTCACGACTTTTCTCTCCCTCTCTGCCTTTTTAGAATTACACTGGGGCCTGCACAAACATGTCATTATATATGCATTTCGATGACATTACTATTATTATTTTGTGTAGGACACAGACATTTTAAGATATCGTAATTCCATGATTTGTTGCGTCTGTGTTATGTTCCGCATGATGGCCCTGTCATCTAACAACCAATCACCATGATCATTGCGAGGAAGCTCGTGCATGAGAATTGACGTCATCCATAGCAACGATGACTCACTCTCAGTTTAGGAGTTGTCAATTTTCCTTACTAAGAGTAGGTCTGAAAGGCGTTGTGAATAACTTTTAAGAGAAAACTCCTAGCTAAAATATTTTAGTGCCATTTAGGAGTACTCCTAGTGGTAAGATAAAATTCTTTGTGAATACGGCCCATGGTCATTAAATATTATTTTACATAGTGTTATAATTGAATGAATTGCTTGAATAATTTATAATAATGAATAATTTTTTATTACAAATTCTGAATAAAAAAAATGGGTATAAAATTTGCTTCTTGTCAACACAAGCTTCTCTTTCTAACACAATGTTTAGGTTTGACTGTAATCATAATGCAAAAACTAACACTTGAAATCACTATTTCTAAAATATATATATATATATATATATATATATATATATATATATATATATATATATATATATAAAACTTGATAAGAAATAGCTTTTGAGATTGTTTAAATATGTATTCAAATCCACCAAAAAAAAAGAAAAAAAAGTAAATGTGTCCATAAACAGCTGGGGAATTCACATGCCTCTCTATAGAGAGCTGTAGATGCCATCTAGTGGTTACACCATGGTCCTACTCTTTCTCTCCATACTCCCACCAGATGGTGCTAATCTGCTTAAAAAATTTTTTTTGAAGGCCTAGACTCTATATTAAACTAAAATACTGCATAAAAAAAAAATCATATATATAATTTTTTTTATCAATTTCAATGGCAAAAATAGACCATAAATATTGCATAAATATTAATAAATTCAATCAAATTCTCTCAAAATGCAAAATTAAAAAGAATAAATATTATAGAACAAAAATAAATTGCATTGGTTTTACTGGGATGGAGGAAGTTTCATTTTTAGGTCTCCGGTCACTTCTGACCGGGTAGGCCCAGGATGTGACTCCAAAAGGAAGACAGTCTGGGGGTTAACTGAAAATTTGTTCTTACGTCACATTGATTTCTCATACTCACACATAAACACACAGACATACTTTTTTCATTTGTTTCTGTTGTACATGTTGTTATTTTATACAAATCAATTACTAAAATTTTTCAATTTCAAAACAATGGCTCATATTTAAAACTTTTAAAAATAAATAAAACAGTACAATATACCCCATAAACTTGCAATGAAGGTGGGGCCCGAGCCAGATCTAATGAATCTCATAGAGACTTTGGGGTAGGCTCAATTGACTAGGCCAGTACTTAATCACAGCAATCACCCAGCACACTCTAACAACCACTGAAAACACCTTAGCAACTGGATAGTAACACTATTGCAAGCACTGACATTTTCTTTGTAGATTTTCCCGAAATTCTAGTTGTATGTTACTTTTTCCATTTTTGACCTTTTACTAAATGTATTTCCACAATAGACTTACTTGCTTATATATATACAGTTAGATAAATGTTTAATATTTACTACCAATTAGTAGTCCAAAAAAATATTTTTTAGTAATATTTTTTCCATCATGCATTCAATACTAATTGGCTTTGAGTAATTATTAATTACATTTGTCATTCCATGCAAAAGTCGGATGTTATTGAATAAATTGAATCTGCTATGCTTTAAGGTCTTTACCGCATTCAAAGCCCTTTCCTTAATGTTTCAAAACTTGCTTGGCATCCTATTTGCACGTTCCTGCAAATGTTGCCAAATGCCAACCGTAACGACTGCCCTGTTGTGCCCTGCATCTCAGTCTTGTCTGAGCCAAACAGTCTACAGAAACATGTACTATATATATATATATATATATATATATATACTTGCTCTCTTGCCCTAAAGAAAAAAATAAGGAATAACACATTTAAAAATCAAATGCTATTCTGAATTTTGTCAATCTCAGTAATGTTTACAACCCTGCCTGAAACTAAATTAAAATGTAGTCCCTTTTTTCCTTATATGAGACAAAAAGTGGAGAAATATATGAGACATTCTCAATGTATGTTAGAGGCAAGATGTTTGTAAGGGACAGTAGTGGGAATGACCTGTACATAGATGTGTATGTAAAGTACATTCAGGACTAAATTTCAATGCCCTCAGAGTGAATGAATTGTATGACAGTACTGTCAGTAACATGCCAAAACGTATTAGAGAAGTATGCAGTCAGGCAGCTTGGCTTCATAGACTCTTTAACATTTAAAACACATTAAGATGAGAGGTTGACAACTTCACACCTGCTGTGTTTTAACTTTTTTGGAATAGCTCTCATAGTGTAAATGTAAATATTACAGCAGCTCATTGAGGCTTCTCTACAGCCACAAACAGCCAACAACTATCAAGCTTCTCATCACTCACAGCCCTAAATACCTTCAGGGGATATAGTGTTTAGCTCAGAAATAAACAGATAAAGCAGAGCATGATTTACACACAGCATATATTGTGTTTTGAGTTCTAAAAAATACATTTAAAAAATTAAAGAAAAGTGCATTAAATGTTTTAACATGTTAAATCTCAAAACTCATGGAGCCACCCTCATTTAGAGTTGATACATATAAATTATTTTGCTTTGTTACCATTTCAAACTTTTTAAATCAAAGTTAACATTTTAAATTATCCACAAACTGAATAATTCAGCTGCACAAGGTTGCAGTAGAAAGAACAATCTTTTCAATCTATATTTTCTTTAAGCCATACATTTTTGATTATTTTGTTTATCATGTTTGAAGGAAAAATGTTTAATACCTTTTTATCAAGACAGTCATCAAGACATAAAAAGTTTGCTTTTATTGGTCGTATTACATACACGGTCCTGAATTATGATACTTGGGTACAGTGACCCCAATCAAACGACTCCTGTCCTGACACATGAAAAGCGATGAACCGGACACCCACATTCCTGTATCTAGTTTCCGCTATCAAAGCTACATTTATTTCTGACCGTGCCAACTGCTAACATGGACCATAAGGAGTTCGAACAAACAGCTGCAAGCTTAGATCAGCACCAACTAATTACCTGGCATAATTTAGTTAACTGCAGTCCTGAGCATTGTATATTTGTATATTAAATAATTTATTTCAAATAAATTATTAATAGCAGCACATGTTATGACAAATTAGGTCTGAGACCTTCATAAATTCACTTTCTTGATAACCAACCTAAAGATAACGTTTAGTTTAATTTAATGGTAGCTTCTTTTTTGTTTTCTTATTGAATTAATCAGAATCATTATTTCGCTGAATTGCTTAAGAGTAAACCTCTCTAGTGGAGGACTTTAAAGATTACTCTTCTTTCCAGTTTCTAAACTGCTGGAGTGTAAATGTATTACTTATTATGACTCATGGGTCATTTGATTTTTTTATATAACACAGGCGTATGAATTCCTTACAAATGTCTATATTTTAGACTATTATTCTGTATTTTGAATGCCATCATTTTAATTTTTTTTCACTTTAACATGAACATTTTTAAGAAAATGTATTGTAGACACCAAGGGAAAACAAAAAGCAGTCATCCTGTTGACTGATACATTTAGGCCACATTTTAGAATAATAGTAAAGGCAAAAAAATAAAATAAAATAAAATAGAAGTATGGCTATTATGCAGTGTATTAAGGTCACAAAACTAGATTCTTTAAAGTAATGGGTCCGTTATGAATGCTTTTTCTTCACTCTTGTCCAAATTAACTATTTAATTATTTCTTAAATTAATTTTATATTTGTAATAAGTCTAAATTTTAAGCACTGAAGTATACATATTTAGATCACAGGGTCAGATTATTAGAAATATGCAGTGTATCAGAACTTTTGGCTGGAACTGTAAAAGAGAATCAAATATAACCTTTCTTTATTTAGAAATCTTAGCGTGCTCTCTCGTG